CTAGGCACCAGGTAAGCATTGTTTTCTTTAAAAAGTTACTGTTTGGAGAGCAGGACCAAATAACTTGATTCTGGTTTTAAGAAGAACAATGGCAGCGGTGTTACAGGGTTAGAGACTGGTTTGTGGCCTGGCTACAGCTCTTTGCAGTGTAATTAGCCTCCATCATGGTGGATGGCATATTTGGCTGGTCAGATTACTTTTCCTGGGAGTTCTTACAATTACTCTTCTATTCACGATTAGGAATTTATTCACCAAAATTAATGAAATAATCTCATAAGAGCTCTACTCCAGTCTTTGCTTGCTATTCATAAAATTACAATAGCATAAGAATAAGGGCAAGAATAGCATTAACCACCTCAACTACAATTCCATAGACTTTTTAGAAAAGCTATTGCAGGGCCAGCTCTGTGGCTTAGTGGTTAAGTGCGTGCGCTCTGATGCTAGTGGCCTGGGTTCGGATCCCGGGCACGGCCCAAGGCACCACTTCTCCGTCCAACCCGAGGCTGAGTCCCACGTACAGCAACTAGAAGGATGTGAACCTATGACATACAACTATCTACTGGGGCTTTGGGGGGAAAAAAATGAATAAATAAAATCTTTAAAAAAAAAAAAGATATTGCATATCTTTTATGGAGAAAGGTCAATGCCTTATTTTAAAATATCTGACAGCAGCACACATCATCTTTAAAACACTAATTCCAGAAATACCAGGATTGAATTTAATGTGAATGAACTTAGCTTCATGAGTTTGATTTTCTTCGCTCGTTAATTTCTTTGTCGTGGTAATCGTTTAGCAGAGGGACCTGTTGTACTAACAACTTGACAGAATGAAAAGAAAGAAAAGTAACCCTGCTGCTTTCAAATTTAACAACAAGGTTTTAGAGCCAGGTTTAGAAATGGAAGCAAGGAATCCAATTATTTGCAGAATATATTTTTTCTGTTTTTGCACAGAGATTTTTAAAATTAGCCTAATTAATGATCCTGTGTTGAACTGTAAAGGCTTTTGAAGTTCATATTGATTTACATAGAGAAAATGACCAAAAAGTACACTCCAATTCAGTAAATATTATTGAATACCTATTCTGTGCACCATGGTGAGAAGTGCTGGAAACTCACGCAGAGGATACAGGTCTGTCCTCATGAAACTCAGTCCAGTAGGAAGACAGTCATATAGATCAACTACTACAGAACAGAGAGGCAGATGTTGTAACAGGCTGGAGTAAGACACGACAGGGCAGGGTAGACAAACTCTTTCTGTAAAGGGGCAGGTAGTAGGTATTTTAGGCTTTGTGGGCCACACAGTCTCAGTGGCAGCTACCCAGCTCTGCCGCTGTCACTTGAAAGCAGCCATGGACAATACATAAATGAATGAGTGTGACTGTGTTTTCAGTAACTTTATTTATGGACACTGAAATTTGAATCTCGTATACTTTTCATGTGTGATGAAGTATTTTTTCTTTTGATTTTCTTTTCAAGCATTTAAAAATGTAAAACTCATTCTTAGCTCAGGGGCCATACAACTACAAGTGGTGGGTTGGATTTAGATCTCAGGTTATTTAGGGTCAAAGGTGATTCTTTTTAATGATTTACTAGAATGATTTGATAATATTTCAGTAGATCTGATAGTGTTATTCAGTTAGACCTCAAGGTCCTTGTATAGCCTCCTTGTTCTGTTGTTTATTTCACATTACAACTATAGTCTCAAGAGATGCAGAAGCTATTTTCCCATCACTTGTGTGGTACTTGCAATGCTGGAGGCATGGGGTAATAAGGAGTTGCAGCCGGCCTCTTTTGCATAATACTAAGTAGCAGTGTATTTAGTCAAATATAAATTAGGCATTTGCCTTGTTACACCAAACTCTGGAAAACAGAGCTTGGCAATTACCTGCTCGGATTTAGACAACAAAAATGGCCAAACTGGGTAATTCCAGTTAAAGGCAATGTGCTAATTTAAATCGTTTGAGTTGATAAAGGAACTGTTTGCTGAGCTTGGAACCCAGCGATCTGCTGACCACTGGGCCCTGAGCCTGGAGGGTGTAGAATATTGTAGACGGCAGAGCAACGGACCAGAATGAGCAGGGAAGCAGCTGACGGTTGGCTGAACCTCTTTCGGTGAGTGACTCACCTGTACGCTGTGGACACAACTGACAGCCTCCATGAGTCAACCCAGCTCCTAAACCAACCAGAGCAATCAACTTGCAAAGAGCTCCTGTGTAACCCACCAATCCTAAACTGACAAGCCAAGGACTTGTCTAAACTGACCAATCAGCTTCCTTGAGAAACTGTGACTTCTGCCTCTCTGAGGGTAGTCCCCACCCCTGCCTTTGCTGGGCAGCTGTGTTCAGTGACCTGACTGTTGTGTGTGCCCATACACAAGTACATCCTGTGGAATCTAGATCCCACTCCAGACTACCGGAACCAGAATCTGCATTTTCATGCAAGATCTTCAGCAGATTCATGTGCACATGACAGTTTGAGAAGCATTGGAGCAAATCTTCAATAAACCATGGTTCTCAAACTTGAATGTGCATCAGAAGCACTTGCTGAAACACACTTGCTGATTCAGAAGGTCTGGGGTGTGGCCTAAGATTTTTCATTTCTAAATTCCCAGGTGCCGCTGCTGCTGCTGGTCGGGACCACATTTTGAAAACCACTGCTTTAGACTATTTGTCTATGAGTTATTTTTTGACAGTTAAACTGAAGACTTCATCCCACAGAGCCTAATCTATGTTGGGTCAGGCTTTCCCACCCTCACCTGGCAGTAAATGCAATTTAACACTCACCTTGTCACCATCTTGAATTTTCCTTTACCAGAGGAATTATTTATTCATGTATTTGCCTCACTTTCCTTTGCCAACATGATCTTTCTCCTTCAAAAGAGAAAAGAAAATGGAACCATTCTTCCCTTCAAGAAAAATTAACATGACTCTTACTCTTTAAAGATATTAATGTTAAAAATATACACTCATCAAGATTTTTATATATATATCAATTTAATGATGAACGTCCCAAGACAAGAAAGAACTCTATGAGAATCATGAATTATGATTCTGATCTTTGAGATTTCTTTTGGAATTGTACATCTGCTCATAATACAACTACATTAGCATTATTGGAAATATTTGGATAAAAACCAGATTGTAATAAGATTTCAACCAGTCCACATTCATGAGAAAGTGGAAGGGGCAGAAAATGAATAAGGGAGATTATTGCTAGTCCAATAACTACTAATATATTTGTGTCTTTGGGGAGAAGGGACAGAAGTGGCCCTCTCTCCATCTCTGTCCCAGTTCTATCACCTGGGTCCCCAAAGTCACATTGCTTAAACCCAGAAGGAACAGTCTCTAGAGAAAAATTCTCTTTCATCTTATGGTCTTCACTCCTGTAATTTCTGGAGCTCAAATTTAGTCCTAGGAGCCAGGGGACAGTCGGTAAGTCATTTCTTCCATTGTCTCCTACAACCACAGTTTTACTTAAAAATGGAGAATTGGTTAACTGTGTGGCAGACGATACGATTATCTGTATCCAGTATGATATCAGCGCTAAGCATGGATGCTCAAATGTGAGGCTTTGGTGATGGGTGTATCTGTCCTATGGGATGCATCCCAAGGCGTGGGCTCATTTCTGTGTGTGTGTGTGTGTGTGTGTGTGTGTGTGTGCATGTGTCTGATCCGGTGTATCCCAGGTATGTCTGGGTCCAACACGGAGTCAAGGCTGGCTATGCGCGCCAGATGGGACGTGTTAGGGCGTGCGTGTCCGCGGCGGGGCGCCCCAGGTGTGCGCGTTGGCGTGGGGCCCGGCGCGAGCCCAGGTGAGCCGGTCCGGCGCCAGGGCGGGCTGGTC